TATTTTATTGAACCGTAACCACGTGGTCTTTTTCTGAGTAATATCCTAGATCAACATCATCACTGTCGCTTGTTTGTCGGCGGTGACCTAATCGGTTCAGCACACTGCCACTAGTTTACGTTCTCCCGAAGTATCGTACTCAAGCCGATTTTTCATTTCGAGGTTACATACAAAATTATCTATATGACTCCTGTCAGCCGAAGTACTGTGAGTTTAAAAGCCTAAAAAGGCCACAGTTCACTGGTGCTTGAAAATGCCATATTTTTCAGTCGGTGCTCGAGCAGCCGTTTCTCGGCTCAACTCCCAGAGTGTTCGAATGATTATTTGTTCAACCCTAAACTCTAAGATTTGGCATAGTCTTAATGCACTGCCGGTGCCCAAATACATGGATAACATGCTTAAAAAATGTTCCCTAGGCAGGAATCCAAAATCAACGAGGCAAAGCGATTACGTGATTTGAGGCAGTCCAGCGATGGAGCAGAATATCGTGAATATCGTTTTTACCCATGGCATCGAAAACTTCAATTTTTGGCAAACGCATCGGCAAGTAACGACACATGTTAGAATGTAAATATGTTAGAATGAGTAGTGGTTTCAGCATAAAGTCTTGACAAATTGGGACGAGGAGCCTGAGATTCAGCATTTGCTTCCTCTAAAATACCGGATAGGGACCTGCCTCGTCACGGTTTAACCATGTTTGGAACAGACAAAGCAATCTACATCATCACTATAGGATAGAGCCAAAGAGACAATGTGACTGCGAGGATGAAGTCCAGATCGTGGAACGTATCACCTCTGAATACTCGCTCCAGAAAATCAATGACTGATATGCAGGATATCACTTTTACGGGTATTAACCTGCTCGGAAATTTGGACATTTCCATTTAATTTCGGTAGCCACTTATGGTACGTATTGTTGTTTGTCATCATCATCTATGACATCGCACAAACCTGCATGCTGCTTAAGAAACGTGATGTTCACTCATCGCATTTTGGTATTGAGAGCTAGTAATCGCATCAACCAACGAAAGATTTTTCATCGACAGCAGCTCTATGACAATTCCTGGTTATATGATAGAAGAAGACTTTGAAGGCATGTAGGATCGATCAGTCTTCTCGCAAGTTGTTAACCGTTACTACTTTGGAAATGTTCCTCTGATGATGGCAGAGGTCAGCAGTTACGTGTTAACTTTGCCGCGTTGTTCGTCGTTTCCATTGTTTCTGTGATGAACAGGTTACGTCCAGAAATTTTGACAGGTAGGAACCCAACACCCGCAAAAAAATCTACGGGCAGTCGAAGCATGCGACGGTTGAACGATGAAGCGCCAACATGCCTGTGAAAAAGTCCATTATGGACTTACGAAGTAAAGAACGTTACCTAATATGAGTCTGAAATATCACTTTTAATGGTCAATCATAATAAATCTAGGTTAACCTGCTGCTTAAGCCCCGTTAGCCTCCGATGACAACGACAGAAGAGCAGCAGCTCGCTTGGCGAACTCGAATCCTGACAACAATTTCACCGTTAATTTGGAACGTATATCAGACACCGACTCCGTGCTGCGGTGACAAACCAATTAATACGTCCTTATTACCTGTTATAGGTAAAGTACGCATGAATACTTTCGCCAGGCTGCAGAAGTGACATATAAAGGTGTTGCCCGTTTTGCAAGGAAAGTGTCAGCGGACAATTTGCATTCACATAACGAAGTTTATTCGTCTAGTTGTTCAACACTTCCGGCTACGCCGTCCAGAGCATATGACCTGTAAGTCAGAATTGAGGCATGTTGACATTCCGTTATGCCACCTCTGGTAACGGTCCTGCGGGATTCTGACCCTTTTCAGACCTGCTTCGCAGGTGGCCTCAATGAAACAGATTAGAAGTGAATAGTTTAGCACGTCAATTCGGTATAACTAATCGACAGTCAGACCTAGTCTTGCATAAGAGCTGCGCTTTGCAAGTCTGTACATAAATCAGATTTAACCCAACCCTTCCGTTAATCACATGACCTATTTCTTATGCATTTACATTATGTGTATGCAGTAGAAAATTAACTTGCTTTAAAGATTCTTTCTGTTAGTTTCACACAAACACAAATTAGATTTCAGTGTGCAACTATAGACGCGAAGTAGTATAATGTACAGCACAAGTAGTATGAGAAGACAGGAATATAAAATATACATAATTTTGATATTCGACCTTTTTCGTTAGGAGATGGCTGACAGTGGCTTCTCTTTTCTCTTCTTAAGTCACTCAGTACCAATCTAAAGCATCCTCTACTTCTTTCTGAACTTTTATGAACCGTAAAACAATAGAATTCATCTTCCTAAATCGTACCATTCTTGTTTAAGTCTCGGGTTACGCGATTATCATCTGTTTCGCCACAAAACGCTTCGCTTCCTCTCCTGGTTTTGAAACCTCATCTTTATTAAGTTCTTCGTCTGAAAGTTCATTCCCACGGCGGTTAATCAATTCTTCGACATTACGTTCAAGTCCAGTTGTTTCCGATTGTCGACTCTTCGCAGCCTGCCTCAGTTCCTCAACAGCTTACGCGGCCCTTGAAAACAGTGGCGACCGAGCCGGAATAAAGTTTGATGACGATGACACCATGAAAGGTAGGTACCTAAGACCTCCTCACGGTTCCCAATACCCCTCTTTCCTCATCCGGGCTTGGGCAAGCAACGGCAGAATTAGCAAAGCATTTCTCTAAGCAAATAAATTACACTGATTTAATGCCAAAAATAGATGAAACGTCGTACTCCAGAGTAAAAAACTGTTCAATTTACGTGAAGTGTGCTGTTTACTCAGAGGAGTAAAAAGAGGTTATAACTTATCAAAACTAAACAGTCAAAACTGGGTTCCCTAATTTTTGAACATAGTCATGTATCAACATAGCGAAGAGGTGCGTTTCTCGGTGTTGGTTCCACCCGAAGAGCGCTGAGTAGCTTTTCAAGTTTTCACCTTCAATTTTCGTGGCTGATTCAAAAGATAAAGTAGTCCGGCATTCGCTGAGATTTACATTTCGGATTATGCACAGTCGGTCGCATCGAGAGCAGTGTTAAATCGTGAATTTTTTCGCGTTTTCAATCACCACCGTTGACTCTACGGCGACCTACTGGAGACAAAAACTTTTCGAAAACCATCGAGTTTAAAAAAAGCCCTTTCAAAGCAATTGAAAATAAGAACCTTTTGCAATAAAGGTCTGTTTTAGTTATGTATCTGTTATATTCTGAAGTGCCCATGGATGAAGCACTTTTAAATAAACTTTTAGCATCCGCGTTCGGGGAAAGCCGATGGCAACCAACCCAAGAGACTGCATGACAAATATAACGTACAATGCATTCAGTCTTCTAAGTAATGAAGACCTGTTATGAAACCTGACAGGAATTGTGCCCTATGAGACAACACTAATCAAGAAGTGCAATCGTTCATGTTTTCCGCCAACAAATCACACCGAAATCTTTAGATCATGACTATCACTTTAAAGTGGCATGGCGATCTGCTGCTACACCAACACAAAATCCGAACAGCATTCAATTATCACACTCAGGAAATTTAAAGAATGTAAGGTCTCTTATGCTGCTCAAATGCTGAAGACCGG